TATATTTGTATTTTGTAGTTTGTAACATATACATAAAAAGTTCTTTTTATTCGTTTCAATTTTAAATTTGCTATAGTAATCTGGTTTTTAAAATTTTACCTAAATTTTGCTTGTTCTGACGAATATAAGAAGTACTCAGAATTTAAATAACCTTGAACAGAGTTCTATATTACATTTTGCCTATGTGGACAGATAAAGAGCACCTGTGCACATATGTTAGGTTTGCCATATGTACTTAAGCTTTCGTTTTTGATAGTAAACATTCCATTTATTTCGAAGTAAAGTTGCGTTTCTTATAATTATTTTGAAGTAAGCGAAAGTGTAACAGTAGCGCATCGTCACACATAAAATAAATTATGTTTTAAACCTATATACAGATGTAGTCTTATTACATTTGTTGTCTTCTTTGTTGTAGGTTATGAGTCATAGCGTACACATTTATCAAATTTATCTTTTAGCTGTGGTTCCTATAGGAAACTATTCTGTCGTTGATAAATTAAAACATTGGACGTGATAAAAATATCAGTGAAGAAAGAAAGTGTAAAGAACATGTAAAGTGGTGACATTGACAAAATCAAAGAGAAAAATACAAAGTACACATTGTTACAATAGTTTCATTACAATCATAATCATTACAATAAAATAAAAATCATATAGTACAATTATAAACAACAGTGTGCGTAGTTTATGTTATCATAATATAAACAATTATGATTGTGATTACTAAATGGAGTTATATGTGAACAAAGATTTAAGTGGTTAATTTTGTGAATTCTAAGTAATTCATAACAAGAAAGTACACTGTATTATTTTTCATTATTTTCAAAGTATTATATTAAATGATACAGACAAAAAGTGATCTTGTAATCTATAAAGAGATAAAAATCAAATAAAAAAAGTACAAAGTATTTAAAGTAACAATTATACAATCAGTGTTAAGGTATTTTTAATACTTTTAATAAGCTTGTAAATAAAAACAAGGAAATATAAATATACCTTAATAAATATGCCGGTCTTATTAAGAGATCAACCATGGGGTTTGCAAGTCATAGAATATGTAGTTTTCAAATGTTATCCTCATCACCGTATCAATCGAATGGCATGGCATCAAGGTGGCATTCTATTCCTTACATATTTGGCATACACCTGTTACCATATGACAAGAAAACCTATATCTGTTGTAAAAAGTGTATTAAGTCCCAATTGCAGCACTTTATCACCACCTTTAACTGTTGTAATCAATAGTAGTAATCAAGATACATGGTGTGCTTGGGCTCCATTTGGTAAGCATACTTTCAATATTTCATTTATTTGAAAATATAAATTGTTTTTTTTTTTAGACACTGCAGATGCTCCAGCATTACTTGGCATGTTAGACTCAACATTCCTGTTTGCATATGCAGCAGCCATGTTCCTCAGGTGACACATTGAAGTGAGCTTATTTGTGATATAAAGATCATAATCATTATTTTGATAATAATATTATATTTATCTATGCAGTGGATTCATAGCAGAAAGAGTAAATCTTCGATATTTTCTTGCATTTGGCATGATTGCTTCTGGTATATCTTGTTATCTTTTTGGTATTGCTAGGCCATATAATATTCATAGTTTGTGGTACTTTGTTCTGGTTCAGGTAAATGCATTCAAATAATGTATTGTTTATAAATAAATATGATCACTAATCAAATTATCATTAACTGTTAATATATTTAGGCAATTGGTGGTGTTTTCCAAACATCAGGTTGGCCAGGTGTAGTTACAGTTGTAGGAAATTGGTTTGGAAAAGGAAAAAGAGGCTTAATATTTGGAATATGGAATTCTCATACATCGTTAGGAAATATTTTGGGCAGTTTAATAGCTGCTCAATTTGTGGAATCTGATTGGGGTCTAAGTCTTATGATACCTGGAGTAATAATGGGTTTTGCAGGATTTATAATATTCCTGTTTTTAGCACCAAATCCTATAGATATAGGATGTGCTCCACCTCTCTCTCCTTGGTACAGAAAACTTGATGCTACTCACAGTTCAGATGAGGGAAGTGGTGCAGATGATACTGAACATTTATACAACAATGTTGAAGATGTAAGTTAAATGTAAATTCATTAATAGGTTTTATGTATAATTTTTAGCATGTTATGCACTAATAGTAGTATTTCATAATTAGTATTATTTATGCCATCACTGGAATGTAGCATCACATATTTTAAATATATTATGTGTATATATCATTTGCATATTTTATATATCATAAAATAAATTACTTGCATAAATTTCACTTTCCTTTATTTTAATAATTGAATGTTTAGATGTTTGGTGATAATTGCTTTTTATTTTGAAATGGTTATTAACTGTTTAATTTCATAACAATATGCTGTAATTAGTTACGAAAACTTTTTATATTAGATTTTCATGTTTGTACTTATATTTCATGTTTTTTTTGCACATATTGTATGCTTACTAAAGGTACTCATTTACTGTACTTAGCGTCTCACCTATCGTTGTGCCTACCGCGAACAGGTCGATGTTGATGTAAGTGCATGCTTCGTTTTTTATATAATTAATATTTTACTTCATATAACTGCTTTAACATAAATTGCATTACATTATCTGTAGTATTTTAATGTCTATATTACTTTTTCAATATTTTTTATAATTAACTTAAATTTTGCATATACATGTACTTTCTCTATACTTTTATGATTATTTATAAGAAGTTTATATTAAAAGGATTTGGAAAATTTACGATCCGAAACTAGTCCAATATTACCAAGGCATAGGCATGTACAAGAACCTCATAGAGGAAATGCAATTGGATTTATAGGAGCTATGACTATACCTGGAGTCATGGAATACTCTCTTTCTTTATTTTTTGCAAAATTTGTAAGCTATACATTCCTGTACTGGTTACCATTGTATATTGTAGCTTCAAGTTAGTATCTTTTAAATTACAATTATAAGTGATATATTATTTTAATGTAAAAATTTGTCATAAATATTTTTATATATTTTTTTAGCAACTTATAGTGCCAGTTTAGGTGCAGATGTTTCTGTTTTGTTCGATGTTGGTGGAATTGCAGGTGCAATAGTAGCTGGTGTTCTATCTGATTATAGTGGTATGAGTGCTCTAATTTGTGCAGTCATGCTTGGATTTGCAGTTCCTGTGGTATGTACTAATTTGTAAAACGTACATTGAACATTTTTTTAAAATTAGAGGTGTACAAATGAACTTATTTTATAAATAACTCAAAATCTCAAGAAAATATAAAATAAATAAAACGATATAAAAGTAAGCAATTTAAGCTGTAAATATTACTAGACTAATAATTATTTCATAATTTGTTACACAGTTATTCTTATATGACTACATTGGAAGCTCTGGTTTGGGCAGCAGCATAGTATTACTACTAATAGCAGGTGCATTTGTAAATGGACCTTATGCCTTGATAACAACTGTTGTATCTGCAGAATTAGGAACTCATCCTAGTTTAGGAGATAATTCTAAAGCTTTAGCAACAGTTACTGCTATTATTGATGGAACAGGCAGTATTGGTGCTGCCATAGGTCCTTTACTAGCAGGCCTAGTATCGCGCTGGGCTGGTTGGCATAATGTGTTTTACATGCTCATGATTGCAAACATGTTAGCATTATTAGTAAGTTTGCTTAATGTCAATTATTTCAACAGTAACAAATATTCGCAAGTTTAACTTAACTTTTATTCTTTTAGCTTTTGTTAAGATTGGTGTACAAAGACATACAAGTATATAGGCGACGGCGGAGAGCCGTTTAAGTTTATCCTTTTGCATTAAAAAAAGGATAATGGATAGATGCGAAAATAAATAAATTTTAAAATATGTATTTGTAACTTTAACTCTTTTATAAATGTCATAAAATGTATAAAATGCTATATATAAAACCTGTCTTATTAAAATTTAGAAACATTTAATTTCAATGCACCTAAATAAACAGAATATTTTTTTATAATTTTGACTATCATTATTTCATCAAATACTAAATAAGAAAGAAAAGTCTTATCTTTAACCAATTTATATGTTAAAAACAAATTACAATAGTTACTTATTAAAAACTGATAGAATCTGCAAATTCACCCCATGATGTTCTTTGTGTTTGAAATGTAACAACCCATGCTATAAGAGCAGCTGACCATATAGCTGCTCCAACTGCAGAAAATATCACATCTGAAAATTTATTGAACAAAACATTTATCTTGTACAACTGTATATGTGTTGTAATATAGCCATTTACTTTTATCTAATATCTTCTACCATGGTAATAAAAGGTTTATGATATTAGCATAAACAATTTGTTAAATGTAGCAATATAAAAATCAATTTATATTAAATTCTTAATAACTTACATCTTTTAATTTGTTTTTGTTCTTCATACTGTGGTGTAACGAATGCTTCTTTTGCAAACCAAATAGCATTCACAGCCCAAACAAATGGTAGAAGAATAAATCCAGCTACAAAATAAACAAAATGCTTATGTACATTTACATATACGAAATATTGTAACAAAACATACATCACTTACCTCTAAAATACCATTTGCAAAGATATAATTTTTTTTCGTTTGGCATTTTTGATAGATCCATTGTAACAAAAATCTTAAAATTATAACCTATATGTTTGATATTTCATATATACAAACATGCACTGCAATATTACTTTAAATATCGTGAATGTATATCTACGTGTATTTAAAAAGAAATAATAATGTCGTTAATAAAAATAAGAAGATATATGAAAAAATAATCCAGGAAACACATTTATGACATGTCAAATGAAAATTTGATTCTTTTCAAGTGAAAATATTATTTCGTTTTCTCGACAGATGGAGCAGTTATATTGTAAAAAGAAGAGAAAGAATACGTCATGTTGGTTCTCATATGAAATATAGTGAATTCTTAAAAGTTTTCAGAAATGTAAATTTCATTATAAAACATATTTACTAATAGCATATTACAACATATTACGAGTAAGGTTTATATTTCACTTATAAAATTGAAGAAATGATTTTCAATAAACATTCAATCAAAATAGGTAGGTAGTGTTTTGAATGAGCATCACTTTACTAATCGTAATGGTGGGAGTGAATCACGTGATCAGTTAACTTGCTCCGCTTGTCGCGCGAGTAACCGTGGCCAGCCATTTTGATTAGTAACATGGCGTCAGCAGAGATTAATATGGCGTCCTCGGACATAATAACCGAAGTGGAGATTCAACCAGATATCCAAGAGGTTGAAATAGAAACGATACCAGTAGAAATACCCTGTGAGACTGTGGAAACTACTATCGAAGGGGAAGATGGGCAGCCGATGATAGCCCTTCAAACACTTCCAGAGCCAGGACGTGAAGAAATCATACTACAGACGCAAGAGGAAATCGTCGGTAGTGATCCACTAAGCGTATACGATCAGATTCCGGTCCCAGAGAACGATATTTATGTCGAGTCAAGTCCTGGTCCATCGAGAAAGGGTCCTAAGAAGGCCAGAAAAGGTGGTTCATCGAAATTCAGATCGTCAGATCATACGATTTTTGGGGAAATGGGCTCGGAAACGAAGGCTAGAAAGTGGGAGCAGAAGCAAGTGCAAATCAAGACGCTCGAAGGTGAATTCTCGGTGACGATGTGGGCATCGGGTACAGACGATGGTAAGTCTTACATTTATTTCTAACCTTCTAATAACTTAAATAAAACACACCGAAGTAGTCGGCAGAAAACTTTCGTAACGGGTATCTCCACGCACACTGTTCGTACGCACTTCCGGTGGTCTTGAATCAATACTGTGGTTTTCGAATGGGCTCGTCAAATAAATTAACAGTATCCTCTAATTCTTTATTATTGACGAATCCGTTGACAGTTTGCGTTGTTTGTTTTGATCGAGAGAACGCCATTATGCTGCCAGGGGGCAGCCATATTTTGAAAATGGCTTCTTTTACGTGGATCTATCCTCTTGAATGATAATGGCGGAGATGTACTTACAGCAGAATGGACAAAGCTCTACGCTCTCGTTATCTTTGTTTGCCTTAGCACGCAATGTTGTTTTCTCACGTTTTTTTTTGTTAATTATGTTATCCTGTATGCGTTTTTATTAAAGAGAATGTGCAATTTATTGTTTTAATACGAGAATTATTTAAAAAAGAATACATTGATTCTTTTACTATATGCATACGAAACATGTTTTGACTTCTTACGTCACTTGATGTAAAATCTATGTTACTTTTCAAACAATCGCAACTATCAAACTATTTTCGAAAATAAAATAACTTTCACTTTTCTTTGAATGAAATCGTATATCGACAAATAAATCATAAGATAATATTAAAAAATATGTTTATTATGTAAATTAACAAATACGTCAAATATTACATTTTTATCATGCTTTAGTGTTATATAAATCAATAATCAGACTTATTCATAAAATGTACATTTTTATATACCTAT